AAATGCTCAAAATTCAATATTTGATCGAAGTCAATGGAATTCGATTTTTCTATACAACTTATTCTATTGAAATATTTTCTGGTGAATTTTCTCGCCTCAAATTTTCAAAGTTTTTTTGTTTGATTTTTTTTATGAGAAGAAAAGAAAAAATTGAGCCGAGGAAATTCTATAGAAAATATGTCAATAGAAACATCGAATTCCATTGACTTTTTCTGTTGAACATTTCCATAAAATTGGCCAATAACTATTCAAAAGTTCAACAGAAATCCAATAAAATTTAAGAATTCAGGTTTTTCTATCAAATTTTGTTGACGAAAGTCGAAGTTACGAGTTGGCAGCGCAGAATTTTTCAGTTCATTCCGTCGTTTAATATAAAGTACTGGAGGGGTGATAACATGCGCAAACAGTGGAATTATCTCACTTACGAACTTTTTGAATACATTCTCTAAATTTCTGTTTTCTATGCAAGAAAAAATTCCTAGGGCACTAGGAAATTTTATTGGATTTTCGTAAGTTTGTCGCGGACTCCATCGAGAAATTCTGCAGCTTGTCTGCACGTTTTGTTTTAATCATTCAAGACTAATAGGATTTGATATTTCTGTACGACGGATTTTATTGAAATGTTTTCGATAGAAATTCTCTGATATTAATTTCTAATATTTTTTCTCCTCTCATTAACAATTTCTATAACAAATACCACATCTCAATAAAATAAGAGGGATAAAAAGATCAAATTCAAAAATTGTTTTCTACAAAAAACTTTCTATGAAACAAAAAATGCGCAGAAATTTTTCAATAAAATCGGCGAAAAACTAATTAAATTTTCAATAAAAATCCAATAGAATTTTTCAACGGAATGTTTTCGGATGACTAAAAAAATTAAATTAAATTGCTGCATTTCCAGATGCTTTTGGTGGAATATACATTCTCCCTTTTAACAAAAAAAACTAGTGTCTACTCATTCATTCGCTGACATTCTTCCCCCAATTTGCGAAAAATATCAATAGTCTGTCGACGACGAAATTTTGTACTGAATTCCCTATTGCGAAGAAATAAGGAGAAAAGCGAGGATGAACAGATTGTTTAAGCACGGCATTATTCAAGAGCACTAAAATTTTCAAATGATTTAACAATTTAATATTGTTTACTTTTTTATTGACCAATGCAGGAAGAATATTTGCTTCACTAATCCACGCATGACAAAATTCAATAGAAAACGTAGTGAATTCGCTAGAAAATTCTATTGCAATTTTATGAGAATTCTATTGGAATTTTCCAATAAGAAAATCCAATAACCAGAATAATTATATTGGTTTTGGTTTTTGGTTTTTCTATTTATTTTTTGCGCTGATTCTATTGGCTATTTAATATGAAAAAGTCAATAGATTTTGAATTTCTGTTTGAATCCTTCTATTAGATTTTTTCTATTAGAACTATTGGGCACAAATTTTCCAAGTTTTCCCGTTGGATTTTGTTTTATTTTGCACTGCAGAAGCCGAGTGGAAAAAAATTAAAAACTTCATGCCCAAGCAATCTTATAGAAAAAAATATGAAAAGAAAAATTCAGACAGAAATAGGAAATCTATTGACTTTTTCTTATCGAATATTCAATCGAATCAGCGCAAAAAACAAATAGAATTTTTGAATAGAATTCCAACAGAATTTTCTAGCGAATTCGCTAGGTTTTCTATTGAATTTTTTCATACGCGTCGTTGAGTGTTTGATTCACTATAACGCGAATGCTAGTGAATGTTTCCTCCAAAAATTTTGAATCACTGTCATCATTTTTTTACAGATGAAACCCCGTAAACCCAAAAAAGTGGTATAAATTTTTGTCACATAAGTCCGGATATAAAATTCCTCATACCACGCATTCTTCCCACTGCCTACAACTGAAGCCATAAAGACAGTAATTTGTCACCCGCTCAAAATGCTGATGATATTTGAAACTGCAAAAGTTGATATTTTCAATGACAATGGGAAATTCACGAACTGAAGTGGGATGAAATGTAATAAAATCGTGGCCTTGTGGTGTAGACTGGATCTGTTCAAATTATACCGATATAAGTGAACTCAAGGATCAATCTCAAAAATTTTCGACTTTTCCAACAATTAGAGCAGCATTTTTCTACTCAACTTATATCGCTATCTAGTCCAGATACCGAAATTCTTCGAGGAAGAAGCAAGGATGACAAATATATCTATTTTTACACTGTCAGACACTAGGAAACAGACAACCCATCTGCATACATCGGACGAGTTCGTGATTGAACATAAACTTTGTAAAAAATATTAGGACAGGGTGGGGCAAAATGGAAAATTTTGACTGTTTTTTCAATGTTCATAACTCAGGGATAAATTCGCCAATCGAACTCATTCTAGGGTTATCAGGAAGGGAAAGAACTCTACTTTCCGTTGAAGTAAAAATCACTGATGAATCAGTTCATCTTCATGAAATTATTAATTATCAAATTGTCATAAATGAAAAACTGCTGGATTTGATTGAGATCAATGAATAATTAGCATTTTAAAAAATGTCGCAAGTCTCCATTTTGCCCCTAATCACTGATTAGGTAAATTATCTGCACCTAGTTGTCTCATCAATCTGACTTCAATGAAGATTCTCGGCAAAAGCCGATTTTTTATCAAAAAATCTCTCAATTGGCGAGAGAGTAAAAGAAACTACTGATATGGGAGAAAAAGTTTGCACCATGAATTCTCAGCCAAGAGGCGGTGAAAATAGTTGAAGGATAGCTTAAAAAATTTTCTCCTTTTCCAGGCCCTGGATAAAATAAATTGAAGGGGATTTGAAGAGGACAAATAATGCTGAGGAGTGTTCGAAAATACGAGGTGGGAGACAGGTGTGGACGCCGCCATCTTGTTTGGTTCCCCGCTCCCTCTGAGGCGCAGGTGTTTAAAGATGGCGGAGTCCCACCTCGTATTTTGAAACATTTTTTGAGACTAACGGTCTTCTTCACATCACCCTCAGCTCACTTAGTTCGATTCCTATAAAAGGAACGAATTTTTCAAGCCATCTTTTAGATTTTTCCATTCTCTTTTCGCTCGGAATTCTCAACCCAAAATTTTCCCTCCATTTTGGTAGTTTTTTATACTCTCGAAGCCTCTCAAAAGTTGTCAGAACTCAAGGGAAATATTTTGACGTTTCTCTCTATTAGGGAAAAACGTAAAAATATCAGCAGTGCTTTGTTAATTCAACTCATTAACTCATTAACGAAGTGTCAGAGACGAAAATTTCATCAGACTTTTCGTCTCAAAATATTTCTCTCGAGTTTTGGGACACCTGTACACACTACTCTCATTTCATACATGTTTACAGTGTTAGCGTACAATTCGCACCCCTGAGTAGTCTGAAATCTGTCAAATAGTCTCCAAAATTATTATATATATTCTAATTATAAGTATTTTGATCTGTTAATTTTTAAATAACTATTTCATCAAATGTTGTCATCATTACTATCATGAAGCAAGTATTGAACATTGATTTCTCTCCAGAATTTATTTCTATTTATAGCTATTAACGTAATTTTGTTCAACATGAGCACAGATAGAGTATTCCATAATCTTAATAACTTGATAGAACTACCATTTTCGTGCTTGGAACGGTTCCAATGTAATTGAAATGTTTTAGAATGTTTGTATACCAATGTATAAAAATATACATAATTTTTCTTTTCCAAAAATAATAATTTTATTTCAATAAAAACTCACAGCTGTGTCGATTTGATCGCTGAAATTATAAAGCATGGGTCATTCAACCAATTTTTTACCAATTTGTTTTTATTCTTTTTACAAACTACGGATTATACTACACAGGGTGTTACAGTTACTGCAAATTCACACGAGAAAAATTTATTTGCAATATCAAAAAACGTATCCAATTGTAGTCCTCCACGTGCGAAATCATTTGACTGTGACACTCCATAATATATTCCATAAAGCCAATAAATATTGTTATTTACATTTATTTGTATTAAGCCAATTTGCACTCAATAGTATGTTACGCGAATACAATCATCTATAAAAATAGATGTAATGTAATCTCTTCCCAATTTTCCTTTTTTTCTCCCGAGCTCATTACAACCAAAGTGTGAATGTTTCACTGCAGTTTGAAGTTAAATGTCGAAGCAAGCCTGAATAATATATTCATCTCAGTTTAATGTGAAGCCAGCTTCAGGAAAAACTCAATGGAGAAGAAAAATATTGACGAAATGTGAATTATTACTCTGCGAAACATGGAATACTGATTGACAAAAAAACTGGTCAAGCTGATGGACGAAGCAACGTTGAAGTGCAATTAACAAAGATAGAGGAACCAAAAAAACTATTCACGTAGACTCTGTAATCTAGTTCTCATATCTTCGAGTTCTTTATCGTTTTCCACTTCTTGGGATTTTTCTTCGATGGAAGTTGATGTCCCTGGTGTTTCCATTACAAGAGCGGGGGCTGTGCCGAGTTGTCCAGCCGTCAACTCCCAGAGAATCTGTGATGATAATTTTTTTTATTGTGTGATGATGATAATTCAATCACCACAGGTGAATGTGATGATTATTCTGAAAGTTTTTCATTCTTGTATCGATATCATGATATAGAAACACTGGACACAATGAAAAGTACAAAATACAAATTGATTTACATTTGAGAATTTTTGTCAATTATGAAAATAAGGTTTACCCTTCAATGATTCTTCAACACACGAAAAAATTTAATAGATAAACGTTTTGAATTACATTTTTTTATACAACTTATTCTGTTGAAGTATTTCCTACCGAATTTCCTCGGCTCAATTTTTCCAATTTTTTTTTTATTCTATTTTTTTTATCAAGAAAATCGAACAAATTTGGAAATTTTAGCCGAGGAAATTCTATGGAAAATATCTCGATAGAATAAGTTGTATAAAAAAATTGACTTGAATCGACTCATTTTTAATTACTCAATTGAATATTCACTACTTATCCCAGTGAAAAAAATAATAACTGCCGAACTACTTCTTTCATTTTATTGACAATTTCTAGTGAAAATTTCAGATTAAAAAAAATCTTTTTTAGTAATTAACTATTCGAAAAACGTTTTCAAAATATTGAGGCCAATTTGGAAACATCTTTTTTGGGACATAGAGTAGCCATTTTCAAAAAATCATGACTCCCTCAATTACTAATATTTTTCTGTTTCTCTTTTTTTCAACATTTTTCTCTAATCGTCATCTTTTCATTAAAAAAATGAGACAAAAATCCCCAGACCATAGACTTTTTTTGTCCTGCTGATTTGACGTAGATCTGCTCATAGAATACTTTCCATTCAAGATTTCAATAGAATCAGCCAAAAAATAATAGAAAGTTCAAAAGAAATCCAAAAGAATAGTCTGTCAAATTCGCTAGGTTTTTCTATCAACNTTTTTTTTTTTTTTTTTTTTTTTTTTTTTTTTTTTTTTTTTTTTTTTTTTTTTTTTTTTTTTTTTTTTTTTTTTTTTTTTTTTTTTTTTTTTTTTTTTTTTTTTTTTTTTTTTTTTTTTTCAAAAAATCTTTTAGTGCTATCAATTATCTCAAGCATGGGGATATGCGATGCAGAATGGAGAATTCACCTTATCCACTTCCTCATCCGCCTCATCCTCCATCTCCTCCGAATCCTCGACCGAGTCCATAGTTTCGTCGAGCATTTCCTCGATTATTCCAGCTTTCATCATTTCTTTGGACAACTCTCGCATTGTTGCTGCCACCTCAGGTACTTTTATCAGTGATTGCATTGCTTGCATAACTTCTGTTGACTTTGACAATGAACCGGCCACTCGTATCGTCGCTAATTGATTCTTCATTTGTAGAGTTACCGAATTCAAGTGAGCCTTTGATGTATAAATTTTGTTGCATGCTTTGCGAGCCCGGATTATCTCTTTCGCGAGAACTTTACACACATCTTTATCGCCTTTCTTAGCTGCGTCTTTCAACGAACGTTTCACCTTTTCTTCCTCACGTTGAATCGCTGAACGAATGAATAATCACGACATGAGATGATTCAATGGGTACTTCAAGAAAAAAATCTTTAAATACTGTTTTCCACGTGATTTTTCCTCAGGAATCTGATTTTGTAGGTGAAAATTGTCACCCGCCACTCAAAAGTGGAGAATCGAATTTTTTTTAATCGAAAAATCAACTTAACAAAAATCCCCGATGTATTTTTTTTTCGAGATAGTTTTTTGAATGATTTGAAATTTTCGCTCCTTCAAGAAAAAAATCTTAAAATACTGTTTTCCGCGTGATTTTTCCTCAGGAATCTGATTTTGCAGGTGAAAATTGTCACCCGCCACTCAAAAGTGGAGAATCGAATTTTTTTTAATCGAACAATCAACTTAACAAACATCCCGAACGTATTTTTTTTTCGAGATAGTTTTTTGAATATGATCTGAAATTTTCGCTCCTTCAAGAAAAAAATCTTAAAATACTGTTTTCCGCGCGATTTTTCCTCAGGAATCTGATTTTGCAGGTGAAAATTGTCACCCGCCACTCAAAAATGGAGAATCGAATTTTTTTTAATCGAAAAATCAACTCAACAAAAATCCCCAACGTATTTTTTTTTCGAGATAGTTTTTTGAATATGATTTGAAATCTTCGCTCCTTCAAGAAAAAAATCTTAAAATACTGTTTTCCGCGCGATTTTTCCTCAGGAATCTGATTTTGCAGGTGAAAATTGTCACCCGCCACTCAAAAGTGGAGAATCGAATTTTTTTTAATCGAAAAATCAACTTAACAAAAATCCCCGATGTATTTTTTTTTCGAGATAGTTTTTTGAATATGATCTGAAATTTTCGCTCTTTCAAGAAAAAAATCTTAAAATACTGTTTTCCGCGCGATTTTTCCTCAGGAATCTGATTTTGCAGGTGAAAATTGTCACCCGCCACTCAAAAGTGGAGAATCGAATTTTTTTTAATCGAAAAATCAACTTAACAAAAATCCCCGATGTATTTTTTTTTCGAGATAGTTTTTTGAATATGATCTGAAATTTTCGCTCTTTCAAGAAAAAAATCTTAAAATACTGTTTTCCGCGCGATTTTTCCTCAGGAATCTGATTTTGCAGGTGAAAATTGTCACCCGCCACTCAAAAGTGGAGAATCGAATTTTTTTTAATCGAAAAATCAACTTAACAAACATCCCCAACGTATTTTTTTTCGAGATAGTTTTTTGAATATGATCTGAAATTTTCGCTCCTTAATTATGAAAAATGCGGGAGAAAACGCATTTTTTAATTTATTCGTTTATCAAAATTTTTATTAATATCCGAAAAAAACAATTTTTCTTGCCCAAATGTTATGTGTAAACTTCGTTTATGATTACTGACTCGATGTTTCATGATAACCATGCATTTACCTAGCCTTTTTTTATTTTTTTCCGTACCGTTTCGATTCGTTTTCCATTCTTTTGTGCGAATTCACTCATTCTAATTGAGACTTATAATTTATTTTCGAAAGTATAATCGATCCATTGAAAATAACTTTTTTTAGGTTGACCAATGGACTTAAAAATGTATCTTCTCCCGTATTTTTCATAATTAAGGAGCGAAAATTTGTGATCATATTTTAAAAACTTAAAAAAAAAATACGTTGGAGATTTTTCAAAAGTTGATTTATCGATTACAGAAAAATTCAAATCTCTAATTTTTAGTGGTCGTCGACGAATTTGACGTACAAAATCGGATTCCTGGGGGATAATAACGCGGAAAAAAGCGTTTTTGAATTTTTTTTCCCCCGAAAAACGCAAACGATTTTTTCCCGCGGTGAACCTCCCCTTAAGCTTCAGATTTTTTGTGTTGTATCCACTTAATATGATCCAAAAATTCCGAAAATGCAATTTTTAGACCTCGTCCGTACAGTGTGTGTGTGTGTACAGATGTAACAAAGTTTTCTTCAATCGTTCGCAAACTTCTATTCAAATCTATAATGATTTTTTTAAATTTCCCATTTTTTCAAAAATTAAAAAAACTAATATTCCGTCATTTGTCCTTTCTGAAATTGACAGTGCTCACCTCTAACCTGTCGATCCAACTGATAACCCTCCTTTCGTAGTTTATGAGTCCACTCATTTACCTGAGAAATTGTTTTGATTATTCACCCTGACTGATCGTACAAACAACAGAATTCGTATGAATAAAATTTATGAAGACTAGAGAACCTGATCTTTGGGATTTTTCTCCTGAGTTTTCCCAAAAAGCCCCATTATTTTGACGTGTTATTCTCCTTTTCCTTATCTCTGTACAATAAACATGGGCGTATTTGTGTAGTGCTGTCACGTTTCCAAGTATAAACGCTATAATCTCTGCTCCACACACGCCCGCGGTGCCGAGGGAAGGGGAAACGTCACTCTACTACTTTGAAAAGCCGCCCAATGCTGGCGACGCGCAGTCAAAATTACTCTCGAGGTTTCCCTCACTGAAATTTCATTAAAAATCGGTGCACGGTGCACTCCGTCGCAGACACGAACGAGCTGACGAGACTGACAGATCAAATAGGTTGTTTATCGAAGGCAAACTAGTGCTTTTCTTCTTTTCATTAAAAGGAATACATAAAACCGACAGCAAGGAACAACAGCAAATAGGTTAGCTCATATGTTCCGAGGATCGCGTGTGGCTGCAAGCACCCGTGAATTGAAGTCTGACTGTTATATTCATTCATTACTCGGAAAAACAACGCAGATTCGCCGACGAACCATGGCTGATCGACTGACACAACTCCAAGACACAATAAATCAAGTAAGATATTCAATGTCATTGGAATGAAGGATGTCCAAGGCCACTTGACTTTTTTTAAAATGTTAATGAGGTATTGAAATGTTGATAAAATTTAATAATTTTTTTTTCAATACAAACAACAATTCTTTCCCTTTGTAACGAGCCAAAAATTGAAAAAATGAAAAAAAAAAAATAAAATAAAAAGTTACTGACTGTTTTTAAAAAGTCTAATTTATATTGACTTTTTTAAATTGAGAGATATTCCCTTTACTTTGATACAAATTTCGATCCACCAACCCATGTTTTTTTCATTATTTAGAAATGAAATGAACGAAATGTACCAAATACATGCGCTAACATGCGCTTATGTGGGATAGAATCATTCAAATATTTCCTCTTTTTGCCCGGCTACCCCAGATTTTTCTCTGGCCATTGGATCCAGTATGATTTTACACATTACCTTCTATTTTTATTTTTATTTTTAGAGTCTTCTAGTAGGTGAATTATCAATTAATTGATTATTAATAATAATAATAATAATAATGAATTGATAATTCACCTACTAGAATACTATTATTATTATTATTATTATTATTATTATTACTAAAGTGTCAATTATTATTATTATTATTATTAATTATTATTTATTTGAACATAAATTTCATAAGAGCCATTTGTACACTCCTAGATTTTCCTAGACAAATCTGCTGTCGAATCTTTCGCTAGTTTCAACTTCATGTGCGTGTTATCAATGAATAACTTTTTCTTTTTAATTTATTTCTTCCCCGTTGAGTAAGAAAAATTGCCCCTCTAATTCCAGCAAGCCGAGCATTTTTGCAACAGCGTAGGTATTCTCCAGCAGTATTCAACCCCAAGTAAATTTCCCGGTTTCGATCGTGTCGGAACTCCTCAGCCACACCAAACCCAAGAAGACTACGCGTCCCTCTTCGCCACCCTGATTGCCCGCTGTGCAAAAGATATCGATACACTCATAGAAAGTCTGCCCAGTGAAGAGTCGTCCCAAGAGCTTCAAGTCGCCAGTCTCAGTCGCTTGGAGCAAGAAAACATTGAAGCGGGTGAGCAACTGGAGGAAGTTGTTCGTCAGGGCGAAGCGCTCCTCCAGAGAATCCAGGCTGCTCTCCAGGATATTGCGCAGAGCCAACTTGATATGCAGAACCCGATAACTCCGGGCACTGCTGTACTGAATACAAACCTGACGGCTAATATAACGGCGAATGTCAATCCTACGCAGTCGTTCGTTAAGCAGGAAAATTTTGGTAACATCGGACTGTCGGCGACCAACAATGCACATTCAGACCCATCACCCAATTCAGTGAATCAGTGAGCAGAGGGATTAAAGTTCTCTGTGATTAAAGTTCATGAATCCTTGTCTCATGTTAATGTAAATAAAAATGCCATTTTTCATTCCGGGAAGTTTAATTTTTTTTATAATGAACTTTGTTTTCTTCTACTGCAGTCGCGATTTTTTAGTGTAAAAATTCAATTGATAAATCTAGCGAATCCCCTGGACAATTCTTTCGTTGAACTTTCTGTTAGTTTTTGGCCGATTTTATTGAAATGTTCAATATGAAAGATTCTGTAGAAAAAAGATTCTATAGAATTTGATTTTTCTATACAACTCGCTCCTTTTTTATTGGTTTATAGTATAAAACCCATAACAGGCTTATTTACAGTGTTGATAGGGTAAATATCAGCTCATTGTATTGAGGTACTTTCTGTGGAATTTCCTGGGCTGAAATTTGCTTCATTCTATTTTTCTTTTCATTAAGAAAATTAAACAAAAGTCCCAACACGATTTATCATATTGATTTTTGTAGAGAAAAAAATTAAAATTTCATTTGTACAGAGCCTTATGAGACGCAGTTCAATGGCGACCGTGGACATGCAATGACGACCATGGACAATATGCTAAGAATCCAAATACTTGATTTATCGCATCGTACATGTTTCCAAAATACATTCCTGCAATTTCATTATTCATGACAACAGCAATCATGAGTTGTTATTCAAAATGTGCGTCAAAATCATTATGTTTTTGGGGGTTCGGGCGAGGAGGAAATGGAGGTGAGGCGGAGGGGTTTCTATTGTGTTCCTGCAGAAAACCAATCGCTGAACAAAAAAATTTTTCCCATTCGGATTCAAAATTCAGGCAATATTAGGGAGTATCTCCGGTTAAAAATTATTTTTGGAGCTAATCATATTTATTTGTATCTGTTCCACGCATTGAATGGTTTTCAGATTGTTTTTTTAAATAAATGAATAAATATTAATCCATGCGAAAAAGTGGCAACATCGTCGGTAGTTTTTTTTTCACCAGGAGCTGGTACCACTGGCTCGAGGGAGCTCCAATCACAACGCTTCATCGCTCTCTCTCAAGAGACGTTTAAATTGACCGCGCTACCCCCACCCGATCGGTACTTGAGACGTTGCTACTTTTTTCGCTATTATTAATAAACAATGCTCCTAGGCGACAATCTTTTTCACTCAAAAAATCATTGATCACATGTTCTAAATGTGTCTAAAGTTTCATGACTTTGGCTGCATTTTTTCCTTGGGTTTTGCAGTTTTTTTTTGTGGTTTCCATAAGATCACGGGTTAAATGACCACTTTATCAAAAATTCATAATAAATTAACCGTGTTCCCCAGCAGTCTGAAACTTTGCACACGCCTTTTCGATCATTTAAAGAATACGTCAAAAATAAAAGAGAAAAATGGCTGTTTTTTTTTCTAAACTCTCCGGGCCCGCCCGATTATCCTTAACATTTTTTTCAAACCTAAAACAGTATAGTACACGTTGCACTGACTGTACTCACCAGTTTGTCACTCATCCGACAGTTTTCTCCATTACCAATGATCAATCGGCAAGCTTGAGCAACGTATAATATGCATTGGGGCATCAGTAACAAATCAGAGCTCACATAGTTCACAAGAGGGTCTCGCGCGCAACCAACATTTATCCGAATTTCGTCTCATCGAAGCGCTATAAAAATAATAATTGAGTGAGAGAATAGTCCCCGAGGAAAATCCAAGAACCTGCGGACTCAGAGAACATCTCAATGTGGCTATTGCACTGAGAGTGGGCCCAATAAATAAAATGGTACTCGGCCGGAATCGTACCTGAATGGAAGGTACCTTTAACATTGTGTTCATATTTCAAGAAATTGTAGATTTTTTTTTTGAAAATCCAGGGAAGAGGCTGGGTACTGTCGAACAAGTGTCCACACTATTTTCTCCCCTGTAATGTTGGAGAGGAGGGAGCATCAGTGCTCTAATCCAATCGTCATTTAACCGACTCCAAGTTTGAGTTTTGAGGTTAGGCCCCGTGTAGATTCAATTATCAACGATAAAAAAAGTGAAACCCAGTGAATCAGCTCTGAAAACAACTCGGACTCGAGAATTCATGAAGTGTTTTCATTGTCAAGGGGAGACTGCCCTGAAATTCCGAAATCGCAGGGGCCTTTAGCTGTCGTTTTAATGAGCTTACCACTTCAGTTTTGATGTAAAAAAATAACAAAAAATTAGGTTCTGATTGTTTTACTCATCGGAAAGAGACTTTTGAGGAATAACATCTTTGAAAGGGTTCTATTCACGCAATTCTTAATCGATTGACTCTCATTTGGTCCTCACATAAATAATTTGTACACAAACATCACTAAATGGGGTTTTGGAAAATTTTTATTGCTTCAGTTCTCGGAAGGTTTTTCTCAAAATTGACGAAGGGAAAATTTGGACATTAGGAATGTTCTAATAGATCGCGTTATTAGTATTATGTTATGACATTTAGAAAAATGAAAAAAAGTCAGAAAGGGGTAATCGATTAGAAAATGGATTTTTTTCTTCTTTTATAGAGGCAGGAACTTCGAATCACTGTTTTTTCTTCAAATATGGATGGGATGTGACTATTTTGGAATTTTATGATATAATTTCAACAGGAACTGAAAAATGGCTTTATCTGTTGTTTTAATGAATTTACCACTTCAGTTTTGATGTAAAAAAATAACAAAAAATTAGGTTCTGATTGTTTTACTCATCGGAAAGAGACTTTTGAGGAATAACATCTTTGAAAGGGTTCTATTCACGCAATTCTTAATCGATTGACTCTCATTTGGTCCTCACATAAATAATTTGTACACAAACATCACTAAATGGGGTTTTGGAAAATTTTTATTGCTTCAGTTCTCGGAAGGTTTTTCTCAAAATTGACGGAGGGAAAATTTGGAAATTAGGAATGTTCTAATAGATCGCGTTATTAGTATTATGTTATGACATTTAGAAAAATGAAAAAAAGTCAGAAAGGGGTAATCGATTAGAAAATGGATTTTTTTCTTCTTTTATAGAGGCAGGAACTTCGAATCACTGTTTTTTCTTCAAATATGGATGGGATGTGACTATTTTGGAATTTTATGATATAATTTCAACAGGAACTGAAAAATGGCTTTATCTGTTGTTTTAATGAATTTACCACTTCAGTTTTAATGTAAAAAAATAACAAAAAATTAGGTTCTGATTGTTTTACTCATCGGAAAGAGACTTTTGAGGAATAACATCTTTGAAAGGGTTCTATTCACGCAATTCTTAATCGATTGACTCTCATTTGGTCCTCACATAAATAATTTGTACACAAACATCACTAAATGGGGTTTTGGGAAATTTTTATTGCTTCAGTTCTCGGAAGGTTTTTCTCAAAATTGACGAAGGGAAAATTTGGACATTAGGAATGTTCTAATAGATCGCGTTATTACTATTATGTTATAACATTTAGAGAAATGAAAAAAAAATTTGAAAGGGAAAATCGGCTAGAAAATTGATTTTTTCTTCTTTAATATCGACAAGAACTTCGAATCACTGTGTTTTCTTCGAATATGAACGGGCTACGACTATTTTGGAATTTTATGAAATAATTTTAACAGCAACTGAAAAAAAGCAAAAAAACGTGTCGTGAAGAAATAAAAAAATTGATTTTTCAATGTTTCCGAAAAGATTTAAAATCGATATATATTTTTTCGAATACTGGAACAATGGAATACCCATGAATTCCACTTCCACCCTCATCCTTAGATAGCCTGACCAGAGTAAATAACAAAAATTGAGAATTAGATTAAAAAATTTTCGATTATTACTATGTAATAATTTTTCTGGGCGTAGGAACCTGACCCAAATATCCCATTTATGGAGGATGCTTGGAAGTAATGAACGGTATGGAGAAGCATGGACATGGTCACGGCCATTCTCACCACCACCACCACCATCACCACCACCACCACCACCATGGATCCTCATCCCACAGTGGGCAATCAATGCAGCCGACGAGTCACTCGAAGCATAGTCATGGGCACAGTCAGCATCAGCAGAAGGAGCCACCAACAGGAGGTGGCCAGCACCAGCTCCAGCAACCACCACCGACAGCTCCCCCCCCACTGCCAGCCTCATCGTCCTCCTCCTCGTCATCGTCGTCGTCAGTCCAAAAACTGAGGAACTACAAGCTCCTGGTGGATCCATTCCTCACGAAAGGTGCTGCCAAAGTGTACAGATACGACGGAGTTGTCCCTGGTGATCCCACCCAGGTGCCAATTCAACTTCGCGATCCTCGTTCCCCCCTGACAAGAATATGGACACGACTGGAGCAGTTGGATCTCCCAGTGCCCCGATTTAAAATCGATGTCAACTACTGCGGCGATCCCCCACCCCTCGAAGTGACATTCTGCCACCTGAACGACAACATCGACAGGATATTTCTCAGCGAAATGGTCCATAAATTCGGTACTGTCGAGGAGCTGACGATATACTATCACCCCCTGACAAACAAACACCTCGGAATAGCTCGTGTCGTTTTCGAAACGACGAAGGCATCGAAAGGCTGCGTAGAAAAGCTGAACAACACCTCGGTGATGGGCAAAGTATTGCGGGTATTTCTCGACGCATTCGGTGAGGAGTGTAAAAAAATTTACGCCGACTTGACAGTGGAAAAAAAGCCAGACAAAAAGGTGGAGAAAGAATTGAAGATTGAGGCTGAGCCCGAGAAGAGTACACCTGTCGAGAAAATGAGTGACGAACGTGATGATTACAGGAGTAAAAAGACAACTGCAGACAAGACGAGAGCAGAATCGACCCCCTACATGGAGACACCAAGATTCACAAAGTACAGGGACTATCCGACCCCAGGGGGCAGTACTGGCAGTGACATTGGCTATGCCACGGCGTCCAGTGAGATTAACTACTCCAGCAGCTACTCCCAAGGCTCGACGCCAGCCAGCAGTTACGACTACTATTACCCCAGCTATCACCATCAGGCCAACAGCTACGTCCCAGGGATCCACCCGCCGACGATAGGCATGACCCCAGTGCAGCAGAATTCAGGTGTGTGGTGGCCTGGCAATTCGACCCCAAGTTTTCCACCAGTTTGGCCTACTCACGCACCCCCCACGCCAGTTCACAACTCGACAGTTCCAAAAATATCAAATCCATCGAAGCCATTTCCCAACACCATCACCAAGGAGAAGGAGAAGGAGAAGGAGAGTCAGCCCCCAGTGGTGAAGAACTCAAGAGAGTCCCCAGTGGAGATAAAAAAGACATTGGACCTCGACACGAGAATTGCAATGCTACTTAAGGACAAAGCTGGTGGCATGGCCCCACCATTTCTCCAATTCGGAAGTGACTCTGAGGACGAGAGAAAATCCCAACCCCCCGAGGACGAGCTGCCACTGTCAGTCCCACCGAGTCCCTTTGCATCGGCTGAAATGTACAAAGAGTGTTTTGAAAAGAAGACTGAGCGTGTACGCGAGAGGAAGAAAATACGTGAGAATAATGTCAATAAATTTTCAGTCGACGAGGACTTGGGTAGTGTGATAAGTTCAAGTGAGGACGAGGCACTCTTGGGTAGTTACAGTCCAGCGATTGAGACTGAGCCTGAGCCCCCGAAGGATCCGCCCCCTCCGCCACCACCGGACGACGACAGAATGTCGTTGAGTCCCCTGAGCTCGGGTGACGAGAAAATTGAGGAAGTCATTGCCCAGTCGCAGCCGACGAATCAGTTGTACTCAGGAGCTGGTTATCCTGGTCATCTGGATCCCTACTCGCAGACGGATGTCTACGGCTGGCCAAGACCAACGCAGTACCCGTACTCCTACGTGTCCCCTTACATCCCCAATCAATATCAATCTACGACACTCCCCGGTGCAGTTGGCTCCCACCAGAGCACGAGTTACTACGCCAATTTCCAGTCTCGCTTCCAGTCGATGGCCAACCAGAGCATATCGAAGGACAGTCCCCAGGGTCCGACGATAAACGGCGTCCTCAACCGAGTGGTCAACGAGCTGAAGCAAATCCTGAAGAAGGACTTCAACAAGAGAATGGTGGAGAACACAGCGTTCAAGCTGTTCGAGGTGTGGTGGGACGAGAAGAAGAACGAGAAGAACCACGTGAGTGGCGAGCCAGCCCCAGTGAACAACGTCATGAAGGAGGAGCCCTCGAAGCAGGCCCTCTCCTCCCTGCTGGAGCAGGCAACGCCCCTCGGTCTCAATTACGACGGTTTCGGCCTAGGGATTCGAGCCAGCATGCCCAAGATGCCATCGTTCAGGCGAAAGGTGAAAGCACCGAGTCCCCTGCCCCAGGATGAGGACAGTCGTCAGTCGGACAGGATGGACACAGAGCTGATTGAAAGTGACAGTGATCTCGACGTGTCAATGGACACCCCAAAGCCAAAACGTATATTACCCACCAGTGCCTCGTCAGTCTCCTCGTCTTCCTCCTCGAGCAGCAGTTCCTCGTCATCAGCGACTGAGTCAGCCAGCTCTGGGGAGAGCTCCGACGACGAGGACTCGGACAGTAGACTCTCTGACCACCGGCTCTTGGCGTGCAACAGCCAGGATCCAGACGTCCTCATGGAGCTGGCGATCCAGCGATCACTGGACTGCCCAACGCCCCCGGGAAGACAGACCCCCATTCCCAGTCTGGATCTCACCAAAATCACCGACGACTTCCCTCACGTGGACGACGATCCCAGTCCTGTGTCGTCCCCTCGATACGACGCTGTGCAGAGCTTCGAGAAAAATTCAGGAATTTCTCGGGACGAGCTGGAGCCACAGGCTGTCAAGGAGGAGCCTAGGGACATTGAGAAAATGGAGACCTCTGCTGCTGAGGCACTGATATCCCTCGCTGGCCAGGACAGCGACAGCATCATTCGACACAAGAGTCCGGGTCCAATCCAACAGAACATCATTCGAGTCCTGCAGAGCATGTCCTCGAAGTACATCAACGACGAGCCAATCCTCAGGGAGTCTGAGAAGATCGAGATGTTCTCGGAGATTCCTACGACAGACTCCGAGGAGGAGAGCCTGGAAATCCGCAGATTACGGTATCAGGCGGAGGCTGATCTTCGTGTTCCTGGGCAGAGGAGTCCGAGCACTCCGGGCTCACAGGTCTCCCAGGTTTACATTGAGCATTCGTACTCACTGCCGCCGGCTGAGGTGCCACTGCAGAGCGATGCACCAGTGTCTCAGGAATCGCCAGCCAAAGTGGCGAAGCAGGTGAAGCAGAAGCACGATAAGTCGAAGGAGCGAAATGAGAAGAGGAAGTTGAACAAGTACAATACCAAAATCACGACTCATCACAATCACGAGAGGGAAAAGGAGAACATTCAGAATGAGAGGCTCACTAGGGCCATTCAGGAGGATCAGCCAGTTGTGTATAAGGAGCGGGTGATCATCGCTGAGCTCGGGGTTCTTTACAAGTTTTTGACGCGAGGAATTGACGCCGAAGACATTGAGTACCTCAAACGTAGCTACAATTCTCTGCTGGCTGACGATACCCAGGGGTATTGGCTGAATGACACGCACTGGGTGGATTATCCACCGACAGATGTGCCCAGTCCAGCGAAGAAGAGGAAGAGGGACGAGCTCAGGGTGCATTCCACTGGCTGTGCCAGGGCTGAGGGATTCTACAAGGTTGATATCAGGGAGAAGGCCAAGCACAAGCATCATTATGCGCAGAGTATACAGAGGGCTAATGAGATTGAGGAGAGCATGCATGCTGGCGGCGACAGCATGATCAGCAGCTCCAAGGCTGGGACTAAAGCCCTCACGGGGAAGATGCAGGCGCTGTCGCGGGAAGCCAGGAGCAATCAGCGACGACTGCTGACTGCCTTTGGCATTGACACTGACAGCGATCTTCTCAAGTTCAATCAGCTCAAGTTTAGGAAGAAGCAGCTCAGGTTCGCCAAGTCTGGCATTCACGACTGGGGGCTCTTTGCTATGGAGCCGATAGCTGCTGATGAAATGGTCATTGAGTATGTGGGGCAGATGATCAGGCCCATTGTCGCGGATTTGAGGGAGTCGCAGTATGAGGCTACGGGGATTGGGAGCTCGTACCTCTTTAGGATCGATTTGGACACTATTATTGATGCTACTAAGTGCGGCAATTTGGCGAGGTTCATCAATCACAGCTGTAATGTGAGTTTCGGGGGGAGTTTCGGGGTGAATGGGGGATTTGGAATAGTTGGAATTTTCGTTTGGGGTTTTTGGGTTATATGGAGGCATTATGGTGCAAACAGTTTGGATATGCAATTTTGGTTACCAATGGAAACTTTCTCATCAAATTTGAGTTTTCGATTTTTGATTTTTTGTGTTGGGGTGAATAAGTAGGGTCCAAACGTCGGAACATTTTTGTCAGCGATTTTTAAATGGTGTCTGTATGTTTTTTCTCGAAATTTTCTTAGAAGGAGTCAATCTAATTTCATGATTTTTTTCATGAATATAGAATTTAATGAACTTTATTCATTGACACCAATTAAAATTCAATTCAGTGGCGAAGTGGTTAAACGGTTTGAGTCGACTTATCCCCCAGTTGAGTTTTTGAGGAATATTTCCGAGTTCGAGTCTTGGGAGGGTCTGAATGTAGAATTTGACAGAGCGAAATAATACGCAAAATTTTGATGACATTTCAGTTGATGATAGGACTATGACGTAAAAAAATGGAAGAAGAGAATAGTAAAATAAGAATTTAAAAAAAGAGAAGCCACATCGCTAATTTATTAGCAAAAATTGCTGCGCCATTTGAAGAAAAGGGAAATTTCCCACTAGTTTTTTATTGCTACAGCGTATGCTCTCATTAGCGTCCAATCTTGATCGTAAAATTTATTGATATTCATTAATTCTGTTTCAGCCCAATTGCTACGCTAAAGTCATCACCATTGAGGGTCAAAAGAAGATCGTCATTTACAGTAAACAACCTATTGGTGTAAATGAAGAAATAACGTACGATTACAAGTTTCCACTGGAAGACGACAAAATACCGTGTCTGTGTGGTGCACCGCAGTGTCGTGGTACTCTCAATTGAAAATCAACTCAATCGAGTTATTTTAAAAAAACTTATTTTGTGCTCCGAACCGTCAGTCTCAGTGTCACAAAGAAAATCAAGCTCACCTGGAAGTTTTTTACGCTCTTCCCTATGTGGTCCATCCATTATCATGATCCCTTTACTCATATCTTTGTAAATAAAATATCCCCTCCCCCTCCTATGTAAACATTTTATAAAAATGCAATGAAAAAAAAAAACCGATAAATTATATATTATCAATTTTAGAGTTTTTCTTTTTGATTATGTTTATTCGTAAGTTTTGGAGCTAGAACAATGGAGCGAGAAGTTGCGATTGGAAAGAATGAAAATGATTCTTGAGAAGAATGTTTTGGAATTTATTTACCTTCATATCACGCAGTGGGCAGATGCTAATTATTTTTTCGAGGGGACTTGCAGCTCAGACCTTCGACAATGGGTACGATTGAACAGATTATTTTGTAGAAATTTCGGCGTTTCTTAAATTTTAATTTCCCTGATTTTTACGGTGTATAACAGCAAATGCTCTTTGAAGTGATATATGAATAGTTTCATTTACTTGATCAATAATTATAGAAAAATCCAAACTAAGCTGAATTTACAATAAACTTTTTTTATTATTTAAAGTTTGCAGGTCTGAATTTGAATGTCGACAAACCTTTAGAAAACATTTACAAAATCTATAAAAAAAATTGAAAGTTTACTTTTGGAGAGATAATTAAAAAATTGCAATTTCTGGAAATTCAGCGCATTTTCATTGAAAAAAGGACAGGTCTTCGTTTTATCGATATTTATTAAGATATATAATTGGACTGATGGAATTACATATTAATATGAAGTTATAAAATTGTGTAGAAATTTAAAAATTTATACCACAGAAATGCAAATTCAACTTTTCGTGTTAGTATCATCATTTTGAGGGGAGAGTTTCATTGTCTTCATAGATTTTCCATCGTACAGTTCAGAAATTGAATTCTTTCGGCGCATGATCGCATAAACACCCACAATATAAAATTACAAAACTAGCATGATCATATAAAATATAAATGTATAGATAGCCAACCCATTATCCAATTTCACTCCCTAAAATAATTTTTCTTATTTGACGTAACAACTATGTTGATTCCCTAATGAACGTTAAAGCTTAGTGTTAATTTATTCCAGTCTGTCGATTCTCCAGAACCCAAGAGTGACTCAATATACCGTCCAAGGATAGACGATTTTCAGACTTAACGACCAGCAACTGAAAATATAAGAATGGGAATGACTTCATTTAGTATTTTTCATAAAATTAAGTTCATAGGAAAACCCAGTGCATTCGCCGGGAGAAGAGAATAATTTTTAAAAATAGAAATGAGAATTCTATGGGATTTCTATAGGACTTTAATTGAAACTATTTTCGCGGATTCTGTAGATTGAGTTCAGAGTTCTTCTGTGCGTTTTTGTTAATAGAAATTTTCAATAGAAGATATTTTGTAGAAAAAAAATAGAATTTGATGTTTTTATGAAAATTATTCTATTGAGACATTTTCTGCTATTTTCTTTGATATTTTTGTTTGATTGGGTTTTCTCTAACAGTTTTAACAATTTTATAGACCCGGGTGTACTATCTTTCGTACGTTATCTCGATGTTTTTTTTCATCTTTCGTCACCTAAAATTGTCAATGAGAAGAAATTCTGAATTTTTTCAAAGAGCATTTTTAATTTATATTCAGAACAAGTTGAATAACAAGAAATTGAAAAATGTATCTGATTTACAGTGACAAATGGCGGCCTGTCGTAAATCTGATTTCGTAAATCTTTTGCCACACTGCACAGAGACATTTATTACGGAAAAGGCTCTTTGAAAAAAGTTGTAATATTTTGGAGAATTTTTTAATCACACTTTTATCACGTAAAAATGGCAGATGACTACATACCACTGTTTTGAAAATTGAGATACCTAGCTGTCACTTCCCATGAGGAGTTAGTGTTTTGTTATCCACCATGGAAAATGACAGCTAATAGATAATTTACCACAGCGAATCAGACATTTGTAATTTTCACTTTTTTCAACTCATTCTGAATCTCAATTAAAAACGCTCTTTGAAAAAGTTCAGAATGTTTTCCATTTTTTTTATCATTCTATCATAATTTTTGGGAATTTCTCCATGATGTACCACTAATTGACAATTTTGGATTACGAAAGAAGAAAAAAATCCAGATAACATTCGAAAGATAATACACCCGGGCCTTAAATATCTAAATTCCGAATTATTCCATCAGTCAACATTTTATCAATTTAATCAATCAGTACATTGAGGACAGAGGATTGACGATTATCTTAATAATCAGAATGAAGTCAAACATCATACCTTTGAAATTAGGTCTCGTGCACCAGCACTGATATAACTGGGGAATGTGTATTGCGCTCTCATGATCCTCTTGTACGTATCATCGTAGCGTTCTGCCATGAATGGAGGTTTACCGGTTAAACATTCATAGCAGAGTACACCAACACCCCATAAGTCGACAGTGTGATCGTGCGATTGTCCAGAGACCATTTCTGGGGGTAAATAATCGAGGGTACCGCAGAGCGTGTCTCGTCGTGATGAGGGGGCATGAACTGACCAACCGAAATCTGCGATTTTCAGCTCACCTCGTAAGCCCAGTAACAAATTTTCTGGCTTGATGTCACGATGGATGACTTTCTTACTGTGACAATACTTCAGTGCATCAGCCAGTTGATACATGTAAGCTGATGTTCTGTAATTTTTGTAATACTATCATTACAATCTACTACTGTCAGACGTACGAAAAGAATTCAGAGAAAGACCTAATAAATACACTAGATAATTCTATTGGATTTCTATTGATTTTTGGCCGATTTTATCGAAGAATTTCGCAGTTTATCTGCACGTTTTAAAAAAAATAAATAAAAAATGAATAGAAGTCATTGTTTATTTCATGTTGTTAAATTGAATGAGATTTATTTCTCAACTATTGTGTCGGATTTTCAATTTAGCTGAATGTTGTCATTATCATTATTCTTATTATTCATTATTCCCTTGCTTTCATACAACCGATTGTTGTTTTTGCAGTCCTATCATCTCAAAGTGTCTCCGGAATTCCGATTCTCAAAAAATACAAAAATTTTGCAAATTTTTATATTAATCAGAGAGCAAATTGACCAGAAGTTATAAAAATTTATCAGTGTATGATGATCTTACCGAGATTCGTCGAAACGTCCATTGGGTGCAGATTTCAAAGCCTTGTAGAGCTCACCTTTAGGCGCATACTCCAGGATCAAATACACACGTTTGGCGTCATGGAAATAGCCATACATTCGTAAAATATTTGGGTGCCTAAAAATGGAATTGATTTTTCACCAGAAGAAATAAACCATAAAAAATACTTCACAGAAAAATCTCCTGCATTCGCCAGAAAATATTCAATAGAAAATATTTCTCACAGAAAAAATCAATGGTTTACCATTCCATCCAACTCTTTCTATTAAGATATCTTCTATGAGAAATCATCGAAATAACTTTTTTTCTCATAAAAAAATTTGAGCAGAAATATTTAGAATAATTTGTTAAATTCAAGGGGAGAAATTTTGATTAAAAAAACTAAACAGAAGAATTTTTACCAAAATCCATTGTTTTTTTCATGCAAAATTATCGGCTGAACATTTCTACGCGAAAAAACACGTAGAAATTATTCAGAATTTAGTGAATGCGCCGTTTTCCTGTAAAATTTCATTAACGACACTAATTAATGTTACCTCAAGTGTGTTTGAATTTCAATTTCCCTTCGTACTTGATGCTGCACATTGGCCTCTTCAATTTGATTCTTGAAAAGTACTTTCATAGCCACAATAAATTTCGACTTCTTCTCCCTCGATAAGTACACATTCCCAAATTTACCTCTCCCCAATGGTTTGCCAATTTCAAAATCAGAGAGAACCCATTTTTTCCCTTCATCACCCGTCGATTTTTCCGGCGCATGATTTTTATTTTCACGCTGTGGGGCCTCACCCCGAGATTTTTCAGTCATTTGGTGTTCAAGACAGGGCTGGGATGGCTCAGCATCAGTCTTCTTACTCGACTCGCTGCTGACATAGTGTGCATTCTCCTTATCCTTTAACGGATGGGCATAATCTTTCGACTCTGGGGCATTTGTTTTGGCTATTCTCAAGTGTTTCGACATTTTTGCCTGTAATTCAGTGTCCGGATGAACTGGTAGAGATTGCAACGGGAAATTGCTTCCATTTCCTTTGAGCATGATCGAGACAGAGTTTCTCTGTGAATTAAATTACACCAGAATTATTTCCAATGGCATGATCTTCCTCAGATTTATTATACCTACTAGCGAACGGGTGCTTCGCGCCCATCGCTACATTACAGTATCTTAAAATAATTTATTTTATTGTTTTCTTTCCAATTTTTCTTTGCGGTTAGATTAAATTAAATTTATTGGATTTTATTCCCATTGTAGTATACAAATTGTGGAAACAGGTTTTCCCATTTTCAAATGAAGAGATATTTATGTTAAATAATATCAGTATACTATAATAATTCCTCTCAATGAAATCAATCTCTTGAGATAACAATAACATAACATAATAACATAATTTATTTATTTGTTATTTTTTTAACATAATTTTTCGTTTTCATGATCTGATTTCATTGAGAGGAAATGAGAAAAAAACAGGGAGAGATGATCAGCAAGAAAATAAAAATTTTGATTTTTCAATGTCTCCGGAAAGTTTTAAAATTGATATATTTTTTCAAATAATGAAAGAATACCCAGCAATTGAATTTCTATCCTCACATTTCGATAGAATACATTAAAAAATAACAGAGAATAAAAATTGGAGATGAAAAATTTTATCGGATTAATATAATGTAATGGGAGCAATTTTTTTGAATTTTTTCTATATTCAAACCATTCAAACTCTTGGCTTATTTTGGGAGAAGAATGCAAATACTCAAGAGAGTGGGAGATCATTCTTTGAGTTGTACCTATGAAAAATATTTTATTGAAAAACATAAGCCATTCTTTGAGATATTCTATTGAATTTCCATTGGAAATCTACAAGAATTCTATTGGAGTTATGTTAAAATTCTATTAAATAATTCTATTGGTTCTTTTTGCCAATTCTATTAAAGATTATGTAATTTTATAGGGTCATTTTTTAAATAGGGGCGGTTGGTGTAAAATGGACACTTTTGACTTTTTTAAAAATATTAGTGAGGGGTTGAAATGTTGATGAAATTTAATAATTTTTCTTTCAATACAAAGCACAATTCTTTCCCTTTGGGATGAGCCTAAACTGAGCTTTATTGTTACTTTTGTTTCTGAGTTATGAATAATTTTAAAAAAGTCTAGTGTCCATTTTAACCTACCCTCCCCAATTTGATAGAAAAAAGTGAACAGATGTTGATTTTTCTCTAGAAATTCTTGAGCGTAAGTTTTTGCATTTTTCATTCTGAGCATTCAAACTCTGGTTTATTCTGCTAACGGATAAATGACAGAAATACAAATCCAGGTGTTTAAAAGATTATTCTTTGAGGTGTAAGTATGAAAAGTATTTTACTGAAAAACCTAAGCCATTCTTTGAGATATTCTATTGAATTTCCATTGAAGTGTTGTTAAAATTCTATTAAATAATTCTATTATATAGTTCTTTGTGCCAATTCTATTAAAGATTATGCAACTTTATCGCGTCATTTTTTAAAGATATTTGATAGAATAAATTGAACAGACGTTGATTTTTCCCCAGAAATTCTTGAGCGTAAGTTTTGCATTTTTCATTCTCAGCATTCAAACTCTTTGGCTTATTCTGCTAAAGGATAAATCACAGAAATACAACTACATATGTTTACAAAATTATTCCCCGAGTCCCACGGGAGGGAGATTGCTACCCTGAGGATCGAAATTTCAGGTTAGTCTTTTTACACTCGTTCGCCTATGACACCACGATATTCCAATAAAACCTCGTTTTTTCAAACCGGCAGTTCCTCAATTACTTAATTTCTCTATTACCCAATTGATGAGTGATGCTGTAATTATTCAAATATTGCTTCATAATATTTATCAAAATTACCTATCAGGTTGCAGTGAGTTCAAGTACTTTTGTCAATCACTATTCCGACACAGTATATTTTATGCAATTGGAGATAAATATTGTCGGTTGATGGGCTCCAGCTGTTTTGTTATTAACAAGTTTCCCTTGAATTACTGTAAATACATCACGTTCTTTAACAATATATGAGCCGAGTTGGAAATTAAATTTGTCTATGTAGCACGAAGTGAACAAATTCAAAATATCGGTCGTAACGGTCGTTTGTACAATCGGTACAATCTCAGATGTACACATTACCGGATGGGCAGATTCTGTTCAGGTGGTTAAAAAGGGCTCGGTATTGGAGAGATCTTCAGGAAACGTTTTACCAGTCGCCCTTTTTTGTGCAGCGGCACGGCGAAAGATGGCGGAATTATTCTCATTTCAATCGAAATTAACGATTCTGATGCTAACGAAACCCTCTATTATTATTATTATTATTATTATTATTATTATTATTATTA